AAAATAGTATGCAAGAATGGGGTAAAAAGGGGTAAGATTGTTACCCTTGTTGACCTTCTTCACAAATGGTGGACCAGCCCCTTCCTTGAGCTCAAAACAACTCCCAAGCTTCAAGAACAAACCTCTGGCCCTTCAAGAACCAAGAAAAGGTGTTTCACTATGTGTTTGTGTGCAATAGTAAGACACAAACACACTTATACACACACAAAGGCAAAATGAGAGAGAGGTATAGAGATAGAATATATATCAATCCTAACCCTAGAACTCAAACCCTAAAATGGCTGTCTAAAATGTCTAACCCCCTTCAACAAGAGAGGAGAGCTCCTCTTATAGAGCTTTTTGTCTTGTAAAGCTTACAAGACAAGCCTCTAAAGAGAGAGATCCCTCCATACACGTGTATGGAGGGGAGCCAAATGCAAGACAGCTGTGTCAAAATATCTACAAAAGCAGATGCACAGTAGTCGGCCGGCCAAAGATGCAATTGACCCAAAAAAGAGAGCCGACCGGCCATCTATAGTGCCGGCCGACCAAACATTTGGCCGGTGGCAACAAAACACAGCCGATAGCCTCAAGCCAGAGCCGGTGATGGGTGGGGATGGTCTACAAGCCCTACCCCACCTCTCAAAGGCAAAACACAAGTGTTTGGTGTCAAACCAAGCATAAAACAGTCGAGTCAAGAGGTCCTGCGACGAGGCGGGCTGCCAAGGCTTCCGGGAACTCAAGACGAACACAAATATGCATAATCACCGAGTGTTCAAATGGTGACGTCCAAGTCTTGAGGACGGTCAAAAATGGGATGTCTACAGTCGGCCAATAGTATCCCAACCGTTTTAGCTGCATATGTAATTTAGGACCACTTTGGTGTGCCCCACATACACCTGCATGTATTTCTGCCATTACCTCTTGAATACACTTCTTGGCTATACACCGCATGAACATTCCATCCAAAGACCTTTTGTATAACGTTCCATCTTTCCACAGGACGAATTTGGTAGCCCTGCGTTTCACTTCAATTCTTTTTACTTTATCTTCAGGTAGCCTACCATGTTGGAGGTAAGCTATGAATGGTTCCCGCCAATCCTCCTCGTTTTCTCCTTTCATGGTGACGACCAAGATTGGAACCAAGTCAGAAACCTCTTTTAAAGGTTGTAACACCCTTCTTTCACCTACCGTGATAGTAATTGTTTTGCTATCTGGTAGGGTGAGTGATGCAGCCAAACTTGCAAGTGAATCAGCTCGAGCATTTGTTCTTCTCTTCACATGAAAAATATGTGTTTTCCTGAATTGCGAAAGCAATTGATCAGCCCTTTCATGATACGGGATGAGACTTGTTTTCTTAACAATGTATTCTCCACGGAGTTGCTTTACCACCAGTTCCGAATCTCCATACATTGAGAGTTCATCAATAGGAATTTGTAATGCCAATTCTAATCCAGCAATTACAGCTTCATATTCTGCCTCATTATCGGAGCATCCTTCACTTAAGGCGAAAGAATGGGTGATTATAGCATTGTCTGGAGTCACAAACACAATTCCAATTCCAACTTTATTGTTTTTAGGATTTTCTTGCTTTTTGCCATCTGGACTCCTTGAAGCTCCATCAAAATACATCTCCCATCCTTTCTGAATTTCTACTTGCATAACTTCTTCATCTGGTAAATCAGTTACTAGAGGTGAGTCATCAGGTATAGGATGTGCTGCCCAAAAATCTGCTAGAGCCTGCCCCTTTACAGCTCTTTGGGGAACATATTCAATTGCGAATTGTTGGAGAATTACAGCCCACTTTGCAATTTTCCCTGAAAGTATGGGCCGTGAAAGTATATATTTCACGGGGTCTGCTCTTGATATCAACTTGACTTCGTGTTCCAAGACATAGTGCTTTAGTTTTTGCAAGGCGAACACCAAGGCAAGACATGTCTTTTCGATAGGGGAGTAATTGACCTCTGCCCCAACCAAAGTACGACTCAAGTAATACAAGGCATTTTCTTTCCTATGCTCATTATGTTGTGCCAACAATGCCCCTAACGAACCATCCAATGCTGTTATGTACAACAAAAGTGGTTTTCCTTTTATTGGGCTCATAAGTACTGGAGGCTTCAAAAGATACTCCTTAATACTATTAAAAGCATTTTGGCACTGCTGATCCCATTCAAATGGAACACCTTTTTTCATCAATCTTGAGAATGGCATACATCGACCAGCCAAGTTAGAAATAAATCTTCTGATATAGGCCAATCTCCCTTGTAGCCCCTTCAATTCCCTTAAATTTCGTGGAGGAGGCATTTCGGCAATAGCTTTAATCTTGGTAGGGTCAATTTCAATCCCTTTGTTTTGAACCACAAACCCAAGAAATTTTCCTGATGAAACTCCAAATGCACATTTTAGTGGGTTCATCTTGAGTTTGTACCTCCTTAAATGTTCGAAGATTTTTCTCAAATCTTCCACATGGTTTTCCTTTTCCCTTGTCTTGACGACAAGATCATCAACATAGCATTCGATGGTGTCATGGAGCATATCACCAAAAATTACAGTCATCGCCCTTTGATACGTGGCCCCAGCATTTTTCAGGCCAAAAGGCATTACCTTATAGTAAAAGACTCCTCTCGAAGTCCTGAATGCAGTCATTTCTTCATCTTCAGGTGCTATTCGGATTTGATTGTATCCTGAATATCCATCCATAAAAGACAAGGTTTCATACCCAGTAGTTGCATCTACAAGAAGCTCAGTGATGGGCAAGAGAAAGTCATCTTTAGGACAAGCCTCATTGAGATCACGGAAATCAATGCAGACCCTTATTTGACCATTCTTTTTCTTGACCGGCACTATGTTTGCTAGCCAGGTTGGATATTGGACTTCCCTAATGAATCCTGCATTAATAAATGGACCTTTTCTTTTCTAGGCCACCATTTTTTAAAATTGGGCCTTTTCTTTTGTGGGCCTCCAACTTGCCACACGATCTGAAATACAGATCGGAAATAAGAACCTGCTATTCAAATAATC